CTGAGTAATGTTCATTGCATGGGTGACCCAGTGTGTTGTTACTCAAAGCACTGTAAACCCCTTCTTCTCTTACTTCCTCTAGAGTGAATCGGTACAGAATTAATTATCTCATCATAGTTCCTGAGTTTTAGTAAATTCCTTTTTCTGCAGAAATGGTTTAAATTCGTCTTGCAAGAATCCTGTTCTCACAGTCTCCAAGTTTTAGCAAAGTGGAATGCCATGATTATCCCAAAGACAGCTTTGGTGAAGGAAAGGCTTCAGCAGCTTCCAAACCAGGCCGTGCCACTGACTAGCTATCTGACTTCAGGTAAAACCTTCGCCAGTCTGAGTGTGAGTTTCTTGTTTATACAACATGGCTCATAGGCTCACCTCACTGGATTGAGAGGAGTACCTGAAACATAGTAGGTGCTTAATAAAGGCTTGCTAAAACTGAATACAGATTAGTCAGTGATGGCTCCAGAAATGCTAATGCTGAAGGCATTTGAGTTAAAAGTATCTTTTTATGAAGTTCTCTGATTCCAAAGTAATGTACAGAGATAGTATGATAATTTTAATACAAATAGCATAAATTGTATCAAATAGGCCACAGACCACTACGCTATATTAGGTCACCTTCCAACTCATTTGAAAACTAGTCGTAGAAAACTAGTCTTCCTAATTAAGTTGGAAAGTTAACACTGGGACACTTATTGTTTCTAGAGCATTTTTTATGATTTTATTAAATAAATTACAAGAAGTAATTCCATTGACCATTATTAACCAAATAATTTTGTTTTAGAATTATTGTCTCTTAAAGAGGATAATCTCGAAAAATTTATATATGACTACTTTTTAACTATGAATAATTTTTTTAAAAAACTTAGGAAATCCTTGAGTCTGCCACTTGCCATCTCTCCTTAGTCCAGCAGAATAAAATCGCTTGTAGTACATCTACTCTAAATTTCAATAAAATTCAACTAAATTGCTGACTCAGAAACAATGCACAACAAATAAAACAACAGCATTGGTCACTTTTTAAAACAGTCTGCTTTTTAAACAGAAACACTCCAGCTAAAATATGCAGTCTATAAAATATCAAATGGATTAATCTTGGCTTATTCATAGCAAAGAATGTTATTTCACAACTGTAAGAGAAAATGTCAGGGCTGGGACTGGGTGGATTAGGTGGAAACCAATCTTGATAGAAAACAAAGGCAACATAAAGAAATAAAATGTCTTCGAAGCACACTGAAGCAAAATAAATTATTGGATCTGGGATTTAGCAAAGTATAATCTTATTTTCCTTTGCTCTTTCACTAATACTTTTTTTCTACACTGAGACAATATGAATTTCACCTTCCTAACCCATAATTTTCTTTAATAAAAAGACTGCTAATAATTAATGACAACGTAGAGAAGGATGTTATCTGTAGTTCAGCACATTAGCTTTTTGTACTTCAGAGAATGTTGTATTTATAACGAATTTTAATACTGAAGATTATTTTCATTTGGTTCTGTTAAGAGGTAAAATAAGATTAAATTAGAGAAGATAATTAAATTATGTCTGAAGAATTAATATTGCTTATTTTAGAGATATAATTTAGTGGTCATGTTTATCTTTTAGTTAAAATTATCTTTAATAAGAAAACAAGTATTATCATGAAACAATTGAATTTTTTAAAGTTTGACAATGGAATGTACCGAAGCTAAAGTTGATAATCTACACTTTATCAGACAAGGTACAGAACAACATATTTGTTTACAATTTATGGTTGAACACTTGTCCCACAATTAAGAATTAGGAAATTATCCTTACAGCAAACAGATCTTAGTTAAACATATTATTAATCTATGCTTCAACGTATTATCCAACTCTCTGGAGGATGCCGGAGTGACTTTGCCAGCTGAATAATCTCAGTCACTCTATCACAAGTTTTTCATCTTTGACTTTCTTCACAGGCTTGGAGTAGGAGCCTATCTTTCAGAAGGATGTTAAAAGAATACATGAAAAGCTTGTGCAAAAATAAAATAGCACCTCCAGGCTTCTTAATTTTTACACTATAATGCCTTGGACTTTTCTACCTTGACAGATTCAGAGTGAATTCTTTGATGAAAAGAGAGAAATAAATTACATATGGAAGGAAAAGAACCTTTATTATCATTTTAATAGTTCACAGACACATAAAAGGAAGATGCATTCACTATGTGATGGGACCTAAAACGAAAAATATTCACTGACTTAGAACTAAACAAATTAATTTGATATGAAAAATGGAAACAGTTTTTGAAGCAATGTGAATACACAACTTTTCACCAAGGCTCAGAAAATTTAACAAAGAAAAATAAAACTAAACCATTAAATGGCATTGCAAATAATTAGTTAGCTTCTCCTACAGCATTTTGGACTTAATGAAAACACTGAATATATTCAGAAAGTATCAGAGATCATGGAGAATGAAATTCCAGACATCAGACATAATCAACTTTTAGAAATTGCTTCATAAGCAACTGTACCAAAAAGCACGCATTTTCAGGAGACATCTTGTAGATTTAACATGGATATTGATATGCAATTTCAGTGGTTGGCACTGAACTAGAATAGAGATGTCATTGTTATTTATTCCTAACTCCTTCAGGACACCCCTAGGTTGTTTTTCTATTGGGACCATACATTTTCAGTGTGCATAGATTGGCTTCATGCTCCCTGCTTTTGTTGGGATGGTGGTTTTCATGTTTTGAATGCAGGCAGTAGTGCTTGGGACTCTCTCTGTATGTTCCCAATTATCTGTAATGTTATTCTATATTCTCTGCCACCAGAATGCTTTTGCGAGAGCTATGGTCCCTCTAAAGCAGCATACCAATCAGAAGTGCAAAAATGAAAATTAAAATAGGAAGATTTTCTTATTATTATTATTTGAATGACATACGACCTGCTCAATGTTTGCATTTAAATTGAGCAGGATAATTCAGCTCTGGCTTTTAATTTCAGAAGGGTTAATCACCCTAACAAAGGTCAATCAAACTTTAATCTTCAATAAAATTGCTACAACGCCAATCACCTGCAGGACATTTATATATTCCCATTTCCATGCGAAAGAATGCATTGCTTTCATTATGTATCACTAATCTTCTAACTCTTTACATTAGCACATTTTACCAAAAAACATTAATTCCTTTGAAACTCTGATGAGAGTTCATTTCTACACATCTCTGGAGATAATCCTGTTTAAAAAAAAAAAAAAAAAAAAAAAAAAAAACTAAAAACGGGACATCAACTGTGAACCACTTCCTGGGCACTATCTAATCCTCATAGACCTTCAATACTCTCAACAGAGTTCTGACAATACCAAATCTCAATTACACAAAATATTATGGTGGTTTAGGTTAAAATAACAATATATTATTTTAGGCACTTAATCCTCCCTATTGTCTGTGATTGTGCCATTCATCTACTTATTTCTATTCACAATGTTTACTGCATACAAAACTTATTGATTTGGAGGAAGCAAATGTTAACCAGCTTTGAATAACAGAGGAAATACTTAAATTCATTAATTCATTCACTCGATAAATACCTACTGAATGTCTATTATGTGCCAGACATTGGGCTAGGGTGGGGAATCAAAGTTAAGGAAACAAAAGACAAACAAAAAGATAGTTATTACAAGAATAACACTCTCCTGTAAAAATGGTGTCCCGAAGTTAATAAAATAATGATTTAAATCTCCATTTTCAGTTTTTCTTACCGATGTCATTAAATTTCGGTTAAGTCAATTTCCATCAAATCTGTTAAATCAAATTTCCACCAAAATTTTGATAAACAGTGTTTAAAATTATCTGGACACTCAAAGGCTTTAAAATTCATAATCCCATAAAATGATTCATTTTTTATTTGAGAACATAAAATGTGACCGCAAATTTTAAAATGAATATATTGATAACGTCTAGTCTCCCATCATTAGAAATAAAACCATAAGAAAGTTTCAATGAGCTGATTAAAATATACATGCTGTGCAAAATTTGTTTCCAAAATGTTATTTCATGATGTTTAAAAACTGCTATTAACACAAAAGACAACAGTAATGGGCAAAAGACAAATTATTGCATTTTGCCATGATATAGTGACCCAGATGACCGTGGTGGGAAAGAACCTTAATATATGTCCCCAGTTATATTGCAAATTGATTGCCTAGATATTGTAACGGTGGTGTGACACAGCATAAATAACCCAAACTTGCCTTCTGCATATTTTTTGAGACCTCTTCCTCCCTCTCTGTACTTAGATTAAGTGCACAGCCACATACACAGAGGTGCATGCCGTTCCTCATCAATATTCACACTAATTAATTAGCAATACAGGAAGGCTGTCGTTTGTGAAACTCCTCAATTCTTGAATATTCAATCAAGCAAAGCAAATCACAGTAAAAAGAAAATACACGTAAATAGTCTGACCAGACTGGCCCTGGAGAATAGCACATAATTTCAAGAGATAGTCGTCTTCATAAATGTTGTTTCAAAAAGCCCCAATTACATTGTGCGACTTAAGTCAAGACCTTAGCTTTCCTTTGAGCATGTCTTGAAACTAAAATAGAACCTCTACATATTCTATAACTACACTTTGCTTTTTCTCCTTTCCTAGAACTAGGTTGACACAATAGAATAAGGCAGAGCAACGGCTTTTACATTGTCGAGCAAAATAAATCCAATGTTATACAATATAAATGTCCCACTGATATTTGTTACCAAATACTTATTCTGAAAACTGATAAAGATTAGCTAGACCCAACAGGGAAAATATTGCTTTATATTCCATTTTCATCATCAAAATCTGTTTAGCTATATTATGAATTTACAGATTTAGGGAAAAAAAAAGCTTTCAGAGAATATGTTATAAATGCCCGAAAAGCATATGGATCTTTTTCTGAATCATTTCGGTCAAGAAACAAAAAAAGAACCCATGAACCATCAAAAGAAAATCTTAATAAGAAAACCTAGGATGTGGAATTATGAAAGAAACATACCTTTGGCCGAACAAGTTTGCAATTTCTCATCTTGCCTACACAGCTCTGTCGTTCCATCTTGAGCAAAAGTCGACTCCGTGTCCCTTGTGATCTCTGTGACAATGCCATCATATCACTGGCAAATTTTTCGATTAAACTTTGCCGATGTAGTAGCAACTTTGTTAATTATGACATTAGCCAGCCGGCGGGTATGATCAGTCACCCACTGCAAGGAAAGCCAGACAAAGAGACATCTAATCATTGCAACCAGAGCAGATACATTTTGTTCCTTTCTCATACGTGTCACAGATTCTATTCCTTCTGACCCTCTCCTCAGCCATCGACTGTCACATTTAGATTCCGAGAGCTTCCAGTTTCCCTTTATCCCTGCCTTAGATCTGAAACTCCTGGTTATCAGGAAGACACGCGTCACCAGCTGTCTCAGAGCAGGAAAGCAATCAGGTGAATACTACTTATTATCTTGCATTGCTTTCCGAGGAGTGACAAGATTGATTTGGAACCAAGAATACATTCAGATCTCAGACAGTAGTTCCTAGGGTTTTGAGTTCAGACAGTAGGGTATGTGCTAATTTGCAACAGGGAGGATTTCAATCCCAATGTTAAGGCTACAGGACATTAGAAATTTAAGGAAAGTTTTAGGAAATTGATCACAGCTCCTTTTTCAGATGCCCTTGTATTAATATTTTCTTCTCTACCTCTGTGCTGTGTTGGTGATGCCTATGAGTCAGCTGTTACCCAGCAGAGCCAGCTTTACAGCAAGGTAGCCCAAGTCAACCTGTGGAATCAGTATTCTGACATTATGAAATTATCTCCATATATCCCTTTTTCGTGAAGACGAGTACTCTATAAATCCAAATCCTGAAACTTATCTTTGCAAAAAGTTCAAATTATATTTTTATGTAATAACGTTAGAAAACTAATTCAGGCATGTCAGCTAAAAATAACATACAAATTTAAGCTGGGGGAAGATATCATCACATTGCAAATTTTTCCTTCAAAAAGTCTGTCTACTGATTGATCAATATACACAACACATGCATAACGAATTTACTGAAATCTCAATATATATTAGGTAATGCATAGAAGATTCCCACAAAATGATATAACAATGTTTTCCAGAGCGAAGCATCCAATGGAGCAGCAAAAGGCTTGATCTACATGGTAAGCTGTTACCTTGATGCGATTTTTACTAAAGAATTACCACCAACATGTTTGCGTATCAACAAAATAAAAAGGTTGCACAGCAGAATTTGAAAGAGAATTTTATATCATAAAGTAATAAAGTTTTATTTATCAATAAATTAGTAGGTCTTTCTGGGATGGAGAAATTTAGGGAAAAGTTAAAATGTGATTCTGAAGTTGATTTTACCTAAGAAGTGTGTATATTTGGCTGCTGAACACAACCCAAAATGTTTTATCTCTACCTGTGAAAACTGCAGTTGCGGTACACTATATTAATAATTCATGATACATATCCTAAATTACATTTTATTTTTACGTGAGAACATTCCTGCCATGGAGGGCCCAAAATCTCTGTTTAGCTTAAAGTGCTGCAAAGATAAACTGATAAATGTATTTAGATGCAACCTAAGATATACACAATGAGGATGAGATGATTTAGGGATTCCTAAAACTACACAGCAAGATACTTTCATCCTCGGAAGACAAAAAGGTTTCTAAAGTCCCACCAGAATCGGCATGGGAGGGAGAAAATACGATTTCAGAAATTCTTAGAAATTATATATCTATATAGATACAGATATCTTTCTGAGAGTAAGATACTCTTTATCCTTTGTATCTTGGGCTGATAGTAAGAAATGAGTCAGATTCCATAAAAGCAAAAGAACAAAGAAATCAGAAATGTCAGGACAAGAGTGTGTTGTGGCACAATGTCAAGGACAAAGACTCTGTGATATGACTTTCAGTGATGCCCTATTTGGAAATAAGCTGTTTCTGTCCCATCCATTATCATAGCCTTGGCAACTGCTGTACAGCCTGGCACACAGCAGTTTCTCAAGAAATACATGTCGATGAAGAATAAATACTTACCTTGCATATATCGTCCTCCTCAGCCCACTCACTTACTTTTAAAATTAAATGATGCAAAAATTAACTCTTTAGGCTTTATATGGATTACCCATATTTAATCGCATATGTATTCAAAATTATATCTCTAAAATACTGAAAAGACTTTATTCCTAAAGAGTTCAAAGTAGACATTTCTCTTAAGATTTTAAAATAAGCATTAATAACGTTCACTCTATTTGTTCCTATGAAAATGACTTTGACTCAGGGAGTTAGAATGAGTCAGAAAGATCTTTACTCTTTGAGTAGAAGAGGGGACATTTTCCTAGGAAATTCCCAGAGAATAAAATAATGCTATGTATACAATATTTTTTCATTGCAATAGTATCTATAAGAGAGAATGGAAACAATGTCTCCAAAGAAGGAAATCAAGATGTAATTTTGGCAATTAATCATAGGCGGTCATTATATGGTAATATGAAAGACGGATAAAACCAAGTTTTTATGACTATACTGAATTTAAAAAGCAGAATACAAAGTGTACATATATTGATTACTGAGTATACCTGAAGAAAGACTGGATGGAGAAGTGTTAACATAGAAAATATGTTTTGTAGAATTAGAAAGTATTTTCTTCTTTTACAAAAGTTTGCTTTCTTGCCATTCTAATTGTTAATCCCAAAATGTAGAAAAAAAGACTCCATCTGTAAGATGGGAACAACAGTACTAATTGTAATACTTACCCGATAGGTTCTTAATATTAAACCAGATAATGTACATAAAACTCTGCATATTTTCTGACCTACAGGAAACACTAATTATATATCTCGGTTATTGTTTTTTTATTATAACCATCATATAAATAATTAATTCTGACATATTTGTGTTACACCTTTTTTTTTCTATGAAATATTACCAAAACTTCACTGCATTAAATGAGATATTCTGAAACAGGAAAACTCAGTATTTAAAACCTAAAAGACCAAACACAGAAATATGGTCTAGATAGTAAAATTGGTTTATAAAATAATAACAGCAATAATAATAACCAATAGAAGGCTGGGCGCGGTGGCTCAAGGCTGTAATCCCAGCACTTTGGGAGGCCGAGACGGGCGGATCAGAAGGTCAGGAGATCGAGACCATCCTGGCTAACACGGTGAAACCCCGTCTCTACTAAAAAATACAAAAAATTAGCCAGGCGTAGTGACGGGCGCCTGTAGTCCCAGCTACTTGGGAGGCTGAGGCAGGAGAATGGCGTAAACCCGGGAGGCGGAGCTTGCAGTGAGCTGAGATCGGGCCACTGCACTCCAGCCTTGGCGACAGAGCAAGACTCCGTTTCAAAAAATAAAAAAAATAAAAAAAATAAAATAACCAATAGATACAGAGGACTTCAGTTAAAATTATAATTTCTATAAGACCTACATGACTTATAATTTTACTAGACCTGTAGATCGTACAGTTTTGCCTTTATATGGCTGCTTATGGCATACCTACAAAGAGGCAGAACTGCTGGAAACAGAGATTAAAATAAGAGAAATTGACCTGGAGAAACTGGCATTGCCTTGAAGAAACTCAGCACTCTTACTTTTCTCGGCACTCTTACTTTTATTTTCTAATGCGGGCACTTACTGATTTCTGCTCCCTGTGGCCACAAAGTCCAACTCAGAGCAGCCACCTAAGGCTGTTTTTTCTCTAGGGCATGCAAGCACCACAGGTTCCATTCTAATTGTTGCCATTCTAACGACAAGGGGTTGTTGAAGGTATAAATACAATGTACAGGTGTGGAATGTTTTTTTAAAAGTTGAAGCAGTTGGTGAGAACAAAGCAATCTAGATTTGGAAACATTCTCCATAGAGAAGAGTGCATTCTGGATCCACATGGACCCACTAAGCCCTCCTCTCTCTGCTACAGACACTTTTATTTTTGTGCCCCACCAACTGTCTTCCATTGGTCCTTGTAACAGCCCTTCCTATCCCTCTTACCACTTCAATACATTTAATTAAGCCTCATATGTATATTAGTTTTATTTCTGCCTTCCAGCCTGCTAGATGTAGAAGCAATACCTGAAACTCCCTTCTCTGTCGTGCCTTAGTCACAAGAGTCAGACATCCTGCTTCCAGGCCATTCCTAGCTCCTTGCTTACTAGCTCTGGGACTTTGGGCAAGTTGCTAAACCTTATTAAGAATCTGTTAAACAACAACAACGTCTCATGGTGCTATCATGGAGACTGTGACTAACACATGTCATCTGCTGAGCACATGGTAGGTATCCAATAAATGCACTCTCATTGCCAAAGTAACAACAGAATCACCAAGAAACAGTACAGTGTAGCAAACAAGAGCAAGGGATCCGAAGACAAGCTTCTTGGGTGAATTCATATCCTAGCTTTCTCACTTAAATCAGTAATAACAACAATAATAATAATAGTAATAAATATCTTCCTCTAGATTTTTAAGAATTACATGTATACTTATAAATTACTTACCACATAGTAAATGCTATTTTCAATTATTATTATTTCCCTGCCTCCTGTGCTACTTGGTTATTTTTTCCCCATTGCTAACCCAGTTTTAGTAAAAATAAATCAGGACTTTGAATGTGAAGACCTGGACATATATATAGTCACACATGCTTGACAATACATGGATAAGGATCATAGTTACAGCATTATTTATGATAGCAAAAGACTGAGACTAATCTAAAAATCCACCAAAGGTAACTGGTTAAATAAAGTATGTTATATTCATACTGTGGAATGCCATGTAGCCATTAAAATGAATAAAGTATAAGTAGGAAAACTGATATAAAATTATTTCTATGATACATTTTAAGGAAAAGAAGAATGGTGCAGAACAATGTGTATTGTATATTACAGCGGTCCCCAATATTTTTGGCACCAGGGGCCAGTTCCAAAGATGATAATTTTTCCACGGACTGGAAGTGGGGTGGGGGGTGGTTTCAGGATGATTCAAGTGCATTACATTTATTGTGCACTTTATATCTATTATTAATACATCACAATATATAATGAAATAATTATACAAATCACTATAATGTAGAATCAGTGGGAGCCCTGAGCTTGTTTTCCTGCAACTAGACGGTCCCATCAGAGGGTGATGGGGACAGTGACAGATCATCAGGCATTAGATTCTCATAAGGAGTGTGTAACCCAGATCCCTC